CCCCCAGCCACTAGGAACGGCAGGGTGGGAGGTCACTGCTGTTTATGCAGGGTCAAAACATCTAGAGAAAGCCTAACAAGTCCATAATTGGTTCCAACATACAGATCTTACAATTTGGAGGACACACTCTGTGCTCAGAGTGGCTTCTGTGTCCCCACAGCTCTTGAGAGGTTGGTTGCTGTATGGGCAACCCTGAAATGTGGAGGTGACCCTCACACCCCCAGAGGGGTGGGCGGAGAGACTGCTGCCGATCTGAGGCAATAGGAGCTTCTCCTTCAGCTGTGGTCACCAGCCCTTGAGGAAAGCATCTGCAGATCAGGTGTCTCCCATGTAGGACCCTCTTCTCCCCATGGCTCCTGGCTGGGCGGCAGCAGCTGGTCTGCAGATGGTGCCTCCTGAGTTGGCCATATTGCTGTGCAAAGTGAGGAACGGGCTTTTGTTGGCTAACGTGGATGTACACTGTCATGTCATGCCTATGGAGAGTGTTGGGGACAGGCTGGGGTGAGGGGGGACGCTATTCAACATGTAGGCACCATGGGGAGAGGGACAGAGAGTTATTGATTAGTTAACAAGCAGTGGTTGAAAGCTGTAGAAAGTAAACTGGAGAACTTGTATCTGGAAGTGCCTTTTCAAATGAAATGTGCATCATACTTGTTATTTTATAGCCTCGTGCTGGGTTTCTTTAAAGGCAACTTGGTCCTGAGGCAATTGGAGTTGGCAGACAATTCCTTTGTGAAAAGAGCCATGTAAGTGCCCCTATTCATCCGCCATTCACATAACTCTTGCTTGTTGGGGCGGTGCCTCTGAATAACTTTTCTGTTTGGCCACCAAATACTGTGCTCTGTGTGGACAGATACCAGTTCCTTGTGGTTTCTTGAACTGGCTCCCAGTCAATTCTTCTGGTCCCCTCCATCCCTCCCCCACCCTGGAAGCACAGACGGGCGCTACTTCTGTCACTGCAGACATCTGTGTAACTCGCACAAGAAACGTCCCATGCCCACTCCTTTGCTGGCAATTTCAGCCACTGCCCTGGACAGCCCAAGGTTGTGAACAGCTAAAGACGCCGGTGCCTCCTGCTTCTGCTCACTGGTCCTTCCAGGGGATTTTCTCCCTGAAGCCTGTTGTAGCCCTGTATCTAAATCACTTCAGCTGTGCAGAAAGCCAAGACTTTGGTAGGATTTTATTCACCTTCATTAGGGAAGCTGAGATTGGAGGTGTCGAAAATGGTTACTTTTCATAGTAATTCACAATGCAGGATGAGTGATTCTATGGTTCTATGAAGTGGTGAATCAGAAGTAAATGAGTCCCGCTCCTGTGCACAGAAATGCTGACCCTCAGCCTGTCTCCTTCCATGGCGTGCTGGGGATGGTGGGTCAAATGAGGAATGCGTTGTCTGAACTGGGGCCGCGGCGCTGAAGGCTTCGGGGCACACGGGGCTCCAGGTGACAGACAGCTTTCCTGCGGGGCTCAGCTTTGGGACTTCACTGAAATGCACATTAGAAGATTTATATCCCTTTTCTGAGTCACACATCTCCTGCAGGAGCGTGCTATATTTATATTTTTAGTTGTTACTTGAAGCAATTTATAACAGGGATTCCCAGCTCAGCTGCTGCTGTTCTCTTGTAGTGTTTTCATCCGATCAGGCCTTATGTATGTTGCCATCTGTTTGGTTACATGTTCACATGTCTCTCCCTGCACTTTGGCCGACTCCAGACTCTGTTTCCATCCGTTTGGAGCCACCCAAACCCCACGATGGGTGAAAGCAGGTGCAGCGAAGCAGGATGGGTGGTGGCTGTGGCTGCAGTCCTCCAGCCGAAGAGGCCGGTGCTGGTGTCTGTGGGTTTGGACCATTTCCCTATCATGTGCTTTTCCACAAAAAGTCTTGCAAGCCCTTGGGGTCCCACTTTGGGCACCTCAATCAAAGAAGGCCAATGGACCGATACTGCCGCTGTGGATCTTGCCCTCCTCCCCGTCCACCGAGCCGTACCCACGGTACTGCCGGGTCTCCCTGCCTCATGGGTGGTGTGCTTCTCACCCTGCGCAGCTCTGAGATGCAATAGTTCCCGTTCTTTTCTTCTTTTTCCTTACCAGCTTCACACGCTGGCCTTGTGCCAGGGTCATCTGAAGAGCTCCAGCACATTCACATTTCTCAGGGCAGGAGTGTCAGGGCATAAAGGCAGAGAAGTCCACCATGAAGCTATCTAGAAAGGAGAGGAAAAGAAAACGGCACTTGTGTTGTAAATCAAGAGAAAGGGGGAGAAACGATTTGGTTGATGTGGATCATTTTCTAATGTTGGGAATACCATCAGGTCAGTATTTGTGTTTTGGAGGACTGAGTTATCTGCGGGTTGATCAGGAGAAATTTTATACAGGACTATTTAAGTTGTCAATCTGGTCCGTGCTTAACGAGAAACATTTTTGAGAGGATTTTTCAAGTAATGCATTAAATCACAAATGTTTCTGAGACAAAGTGAAGAGTGAACCCTTCTGCTTTGAGACTGTCAGTCTAACGTGCACACTCTTGATTCATGCCGTGATGTTGATGCCTCAGCTGCTGAGCTGCTCAGCACACATAAATCGGGAGCAATTTGGATTCTCCCTAGCTATAACAAATAAAATAGAGCTGCAGAAGCCTTAAGAAACCCTGTGTGACCTCTGCCATCTTGTTACCAAGCCACAGGGACAGATGGGTCTTGGAAATTTTTAATAGGCTTCAGCCATCATTATTCTTTGGAAGTACATCCACTTTAAGGGCTCTTTTCTGATTTTTTCTTTGCACAATTTAGATGGAAAAGCAGTGGAACGTGGCTCTCCCGTTGGATATACACGAAATCGATATTCAGGGACCTGGATTTTTGACCATGCATTGAGATACACGTCCGGTATGTGATGGAAGGGTGTGAAAGTCTAACCAGGGATCAGGGAGCAAGGGAAAGCTCCAGATGCAACGAGTGTGTTGCCCAGATCCCAACTGCGAGGCTGAGGAAAAGCCTGGCAAAACTGAATGCACCAACTAACCAGAAACCTTCCCCATCTCCCCTCCTACTACAGACAGCTTTAAACCACATGAGACACCCTGATGTGGACAAAGTCCAAGATAAACCGTCACCACGCTGTCAGTGTCCAAGGCAACATGGGCATGTTCTTTCTAAGGCCTTAACACATGTAGTCATGTCTTTTATTTTTTCCACTTCTTCTTTCCTCCACCCTAATAACACTTTTATTGTGGCAAGTCATCCCACCTTTCTGTAATATGAGGATCTGTTCCTTTGCCCCCCCAAATCGTAGTGCGCTGAGTACACAGTTGTGGCTGTTGAGTTGTCTCGGTGCCTGCAGGACTTTAGATCTGTAATGCACCTCCCTTACACCCTTCAAACTTGCTGTCCTCCTGGGGCAGTTCTCTGCTGTTCATGTGTAGGAGGTGGGTAGAGGTACCCCCCTCGAAGAAGATGACTCCAGCCTTTGCGGGGTTGCACTTGAGACCAGGGTGCTTCAGGATATCTGTGCAAGAGCACTGGCCTTGGGATGTGCCGCTCCCTCTCTTGCCTTCGGCTCCTGCCCTCGCTTTCCAGGCACAGCCCCTTGCCTGAGGGTTGCCACGCTGTTTTGGGTTTGTATTGGAGGGGGAAGGCACAACACAGCTGCTTGTACAGGTTATATTCTTCTTGAAGAACTTCTGCGCAACCAAATGCATTTATGTGCTGTAGACTATCTCCAGAGGAAGGGGGAAATATAAGAAAAATGGGAAAAAAATTCAACCTAGAAGCCCCTCACTGTTTTTTTTCCATTTTCCCAGTGCACTGTTTTGGGATATGGGTAGGTGTCAGTCGCATTTTGCTGTCGGTACAGCTGAGCCTCAGCTGTTGCACAGGGTTGGTGGTTGGCAGGGCCCAAGTGATGGTAAGTGCGCTCATCTTCTGGCCGTGCAGATTTGGGGCTCCAGCTGGAATAGTTTTTAGGAAAGAATTTTGGAGGTTGGCGATGAATATAACGGGTCCTTGAGCGTGAAAAATGAGGGCTGGCAGATGCTTGCTGATACCCGGGATTTCACTTGGAAAAGCCTGGGTGGAGCGACCACGGGTGATGACTGTCCCATATATGTATATCTCCATATAAAATAGAACTAGCGACGATAATTAAAGGGCTATGGAGCAAATCAGACATAGTCAACTGACTACAATATCAGTATTTTAAGAGTATTTTTTCAGACATGTACCCTTGTGTATCAGACTATAGCAAATTGCCTCTTTCAGCATCAGTGAGAAAGTAGACTCCCGAGCTAAAAAGGCAGTCCCAGGTGATGCTAACAGCGACGGACAGGGAGTTCAGTGCCGGACGAACGGGAAGACATGGGTATAGCATGTTGAAAAAACACGGTTGGTTTTGTTCCTGGAAAGAGCTCACTTTGAGTAGCGCTGGGTAAGTGTTGCTGTAAAATGGTGTTGGGGAATATTTGTGCGTGGGAATGTTTTGTTCTTGTCTGTGGCTCATCCCCAAGTGTTACTGTTTTGCATGGTCAGGAAAAGATTGTTTCAGGGTTGTGTGAGGAAGCGTCCATGGAAATGAAATGTTCACACAAAATAATATTCAGTCCTTCTTTCTCCCACCTCCTCTTCCTGTAAGCGCTGCTCTCGCCCTGCTGAAGAGCACGGGGAGGATCACAGTTACAAAGCTGCTGATGGACAGCTAAGAAATGCAATACATTTTGCAAGCGAGAGCTTGGAAGGTGAATTTATAGACTGTTCACCAGGTGGGAGTGGGGAAAAAAGAGGTTGAATCAACTTCAATAACAAATCTAAGGAAATTTCTGTCTGCCTGTCTGACGAAGAGGCTAAATTCATTGCATGATTTCATCATTACAAATGATTCTCCCAGCTCTGTTTCTCTGGTTCCATTTCAAATGACTGTTTGCAGATGTGTGTTTTCTGGAATTAGAGACACAAATTGAGAAGAGAGACTCCTGTGGTCATGTGCTTTTCCTTGAAAAGGTCAAAAGTTCTATTTGTATCTATTTGGTTTCCTCTGGGTGGATATTTACCAAATCTCTGTGGGTTTCTTGAGAAATTTGTACATTGTGCATTTCTTGAGAAATTTTGAAAACTCCTTGCCTCAAGATAACATACTGCCTTCTTTTTTCAGTTGAAAAGCTTTTTTTTCCCGTATCCTAGGAACTTACTGAAAAGTAATTCAAGGTTATTTCTGTCTGTAGGAGATATTAGTCATTATTATAAAATTATAAGTCAGGCTATTTTGAGAGTGGCCCTTTCATGTTAGCAAAGTTACAAAGATATACTGAAAATGTAAGTTCAGGGTGATACGCCAAGGAATCTTAAATAAGGCTGAAAAAAGAATTGAGTCTGGGATAGTGATTTCCTGCATTTATCTCCATGAACCTTCCAAAAATTACTTTGCTGCAAACCGCATTCTTTTGTCCCCAGTTTACAGATGAGCATGCAGTGAGGCTGTTTTTCCTAATCTCCTATGGTGACGTATACTTTTCTGTCTTGTTTTTCAGGGTCTTACGAGTGTGGAATATGTGGGAAGAAATACAAGTATTACAACTGTTTCCAGACCCATGTGCGAGCGCATAGAGGTATCTCACTCCTGCTCAAATCTTTGGGAATCCTGGGGTAACGTGCAGGTTCAGGGAATATTTTGGGCAAGACCTTGAAGATTGCTCTGCTGCTTCTCTGTTTGTCCCTAATCGTTCTTTCGGGCAGCCCGTTCAGAGGATAAGCTTTGGGGCTGTCAAAGCTTTGGGGCTCTCTGCTCCAGTGCTATTTCTGCTGAGGTCAGGAGCAGCTCTTGCGTTGGGTGCAATATTTACTGCACGGGGCTCTCTGGGGGCATTGCTGTGTGCTGGGAGAGCTGCAAATCCAAAAGTTGCTCCTGGCAGATGCCACATGCCAGCAGCTAGGTACTGCCACAGGGCAACTCCATCTCCCCAAGGTGCTCCGTGCTCCTGCCCCGCTGGGTGCTTTGGTCCATCCCTGTTAAGTCGGGATGGGAGGATATGAAGGCAGATATTGGCATTGCTGTACTGCTGTATTTTTATCTTAAAATCAAAGTGATACTTGAACTCACCCCCATCCCCCTGCTGTCAGCTGAGGTCACTTTCCAAACGTATCGTGTGGACGAAATCTCTTGTGCTTGGTCAGGAGTGACTTTATTTGAATTTTCTGCAAGCCCAGTCAATTTGATGTTGCTTAATTGCAGAAATGTGAAAGTGTTGATTGCTGTTTTGTACAATTAGCGTAGTTTGTGTAAGCTGGAGAAATACATATCTGAACTAACAGAACAACAGGACCTGAAGCTTCTGGCCCTTTCTGTGGTTTTATTTTCTTTCACCTGAGTTGAGCACTGAAGTCTGTTGGGCCAGACTTGCAGGAGCATCTGCTTTAGCTCCTCAGTTGTAATGAGCAGTATCAGTGCATGTGGTCTTCAATAAAAGGGTTGACTGGAAAGTCCAAAGGAGCATAAGGGAAATTCCCAGTGAAAAGTTTGAAAATCCAGGAATAATGAAGGCTAACGCAATTTTAAATTTAAAATGGGTAAACTCGCAGAAGTCAGCAAATGCAGAGCTTGAAGAGTGAACGTGCATCCTTAACTTCCCAGTTTTCCACAGCCTCATCCTTTAATTGCATGGTCGCATATTTCTCATGGGCCGTGCAACATCACAGAGCTGCTTCTTTATCATTAGACACATGCAGAATTGTTTTTCGAATCTGGTATTCTTTTCTAAATACCAACAAAATTACTGATGTCCTTTAAATGTTGTGACAGGACAAGGGGTAATGGTTTTAAACTAAACCAGGTATGTTTAGGCTGGATATAAGGAAGAAATTCTTTACACTGAGGGTGGTGAAACACTGGAAGGGGTTGCCCAGGGCGGTGGTGGAGGCCCCATCCCTGGGAACATTCCAGGCCAGGTTGGACGGGGCTCTGAGCAGCCTGATCTGGTTAGCGGTGTCCCTGCTCCTGCAGGGGGGTTGGGCTGGGTGACCCTAAAGGTCCCTTCCAACCCAAAACATTCTGTGATTCTATGATTCTATGAAATGTAACTGCAAAGTACCTTCACTCTGCAGTTTAAGAAAAAAAAACCACCTAAAATAATAGCGAGCAGCAGTTATTTGCTGACAGGCAGAACACTTTACTGTTGCATCACAGCACTGCAATAATTTTGCAATAATAATTGCAGTATTTAGCTGTGGGACGAGGATTGCTTTTATTTTATTTTTCTTCCTCAGGCACTATGGGATCTTTCATTCAGCTGAAATTTCAGGAGCTATATTAGTATGAGGTTACCTCCTAGTGTGTGATCCAATTGGTTTGCATTTACACATTTATTTATAATTTGACCATGAAATCAAGCTATATATGAAATGGTCTGGATGCATCAACATGCACGTGTACAACTGATATCCAGAGTTTTGTCGGAAACTCGGTGGAGACGTGACTCTACCTTTTGCTTCCAAAGCCTTTTTTAGATGTAGCCATACAAGATGGAAATTTTCAAAATTTTGAATGTGGAACTTTATTAGTGATTTTCACATCAGTGGTGGAGAAGCACAGTTTATATACATGGAACTTGGAAAATGTTGTTTTGTTGCTGTGAATTGATGCAGGTAGTGCATTTGAACTGCCTTAAGACAATAAAAATAAAAATGAGATGTTTATTCACATACACTCCTCAGCAAGAAATCAAACTGAAACTCGATGCAACTCTGTAAATGTGATTCTCCCCGAAACAGAACCTGAGCTGGTTAAAGCAGTTGGGAAGCATACCTGTCTGCAGAGAAATAATGTGCCATGGAACGGGCGTGTAATGTATAGTTAGGGAAAAAAAGAAGGATTATATGGAGGAAAGCCCTGTGTGGTGTTATCCAGTGAGAACCGTACATCAAACAGTACCAGTAACAGTGGTGGAAATGGTGTAAGACTGCTGGACTGAAAGACATTTTTATGGAAGATGCTTTTGTTGCCACACGTATCTGAGGTTTCATACAGAAGTGGCTGGTGTTGCAGCATTGTAACAAACGTGGGATAACTTGGCGGTTACATGCACATTGAGGATGTGATTCTGCACGTTTGCTTGTTCTCCCTGCGTATCTTCAGTCCATGTCTTGGATAAAACCCCAAGGGCCCTGGCAGGCCAGCTCTCCTAGGTCTGCTTGCCCTTGAAGCACTGAAAATTGAGCTCCCTTGGCCTATTATGTACAATTATCAGCTGCCAGGAGCTCAGATCCTGAATCTTGTAGTCATTTCTTTTTGGCTGGGCAAGGAAGGAGATGTATTGCAGTGGCAGGAGCTGGCATTCCCTCTTCGCCTGACACATTTTCCGAGCATCAGCCATGGTTTCCTCGACGTCTGGGCCACCCATCAGTCACCCAACATCTGCCTTTCCCTGAAGGTTTGACTGATTCTGGGTAAATGCACCGCTCAGCACCAGCATAGCCAGAACAAACTCAGGCCCTTTTTTCTTCTCTTTCGGTGCTTTCTTCCAGGGCTTTTTGGGCATTCAAGCAGAAATACCTGCCCTTTGTGACTTGCTTCCATTGGAATAGTCCTCTGCTTTTTGCTTTCTTGGGTGGTTCCTGTGTCATTTGGTCCTTGGCCGAGCTGGGGGTTGGCCAAGCTGCAGATGGGCAGAGCTGGAGATGCAAAAGGTTCGGCCCACAGGAGAGCAGACAGTAATTGTGTTGATCTGGTTTGGACCTTTGCGGCAGAACAAGTGAAAAACCCATCGGTCTTAGCCAGCCCCACTGTCCCCATTCAGTGACGCAACTCCTGTCCCCGGGATGGGAGGTTCGGAGGTCTCCAGTTGTCCTTGCTTTGAACTGGGTTATTTCTAAGCTGGTTTTTGTACATCTTGATGTCCAGTTTGGAGCTGTAGCAGGGGAGCCTGGGGCTTACGGCTCATGGCCAGCATGGGGGGGTCTGTCGCCCTCTCTGCTCTTACAGTCGGTCTGTACTTGTCAGCCACTTGTTTTGCCCTGTGCAAGACTTAAATTTCTTCTCATCCTTTGAGCTGTTCAGCTCCAAATTAAGATTCTTGCACTGGCGACATCACGTTTTTCGTTGTAATGATCATTTTGGGGAGAAATTTCCTAGATTTTTTTTATAACTGCACCTGCCTCCTCTCTAGATCTCCATGGTGGAGAAGCTGTTGGAGGTCACTGGTGGTCTTTAGGCTGATTTTTTTTTTTTTCTTGTCTGCCTTCAGGAACAGGTGGTTTCTTATTGGAAAACGGGGCATTTTCTTAGTTTCTTGAGCCTTCCCTGTGGTTCTCAGCATTGGCTGGAGAATTTGAGGGAGCGGTTGATCTCCTGGCAGTTTGCAAGTGCAAAGGGTCAAGGCAGCTCTTGTTCAAGACGCACTGCCTCGTGGGGGCAAGCTCCCTTTCTGCTTCGCTCTGGAAGCTGAGATGCAGGCATGGAAAACCCCACGTAAAGGGTTCTGCAAAGAATCAGAAACGTAGGTAAGAAATTTACTCACTACGTTTTATCAAGGAAGAAATGAAAAGGTTGCATTCTTTCCCCTGCGCCTCCCTGAAACGCACAAATAAAATAAAAAAGAAACGCAACAAAAAAAGTTATGTTGTGGAGCTGAAAAGGCTCCTTTGTGAGCAGTTGTGCAGCCCGGCAGGATCGCAGCTCCTTCCCCCTGCAGAGCTGCTGGAGTTCAGCTGGAGCAGAAGGGCTGCGCATTCCTGGTGCCAATGGAAGGCTCTGTCCCAGCGATCGGCACTGACAAACATTACCACTTCGCCTACATGCAGCCCAGGCCTTAAAAATGTGTCACTTACAAGGCTTTTTGTTTAGCTGTGTGGGGTTTTTCATGTCATTAAAAGGTTTGGATTCCCTTCAGGAGTTACTCAGCTAGAAAGCTTTGTTTTGCACGGTTGGGTCATATTTAAGGAACATGAGCAGCAAAACATCTGCATGTTTTGAGTGAGGAAAATTATTTCACTTCTGGATAACTGAAAAAAAAAAAGGCTGAAATTACTTTATTAGTCTTTCAAACAGTAAATTTAAAAACCTCTGGGCTGAGGCCAAGCAAGGGAGATTTTTACCCACAGGAGAATTCTTCAGAAACCAAATGAAAAGAAAATAGCAAGGCTCAGGTTTAACCCTCGCAGGATATATCACCTCTTTCCTCATAACGGGTGGAAGGTCTCTGTTTCCAGATAAGCTTTTCTGGGCCGAGTGATGATTTTGCTCAAGTTATTTTTCTGTATTATTTATTGACATTATTTAGTTGCTGCATTGCCTCCCTGTGAACCAATCAGCTCTCCGTTCCCCTCCCGCACGGGCAGGCCAGCTGAGGGGCTGATGGGCCCCCACCAGAATAGATGCGGAATGCACTAGAGTAGGATTGTTTTCTTCAGGTGAAGTTTCTCATTTAACCAATCATTAAAAAACTTCTGAAAGCTTTTTAAAGTTTCATATTAATATTTTCCAAGAATGGGTTCTGCTTGATTCCAAAAATATGAAAAGGAAGATGACTCGTTCAAACTGTGAATATGGAAAAATGCGTTTTTCCAAAGTGCACATTTTTGGAGTCTGAGTTGGAGCAGTTCTGTGAATGAAACG